CTGGGCCGTCTGTACGCCTGGCTCCTACAATATTTAATCCGCAGAGCCGCAGCGGGGGTAGCAAATGCCCCCCCTTATCGACTAAACTCTCCCACTCCAAGGGATGCGAGTACATGAGAAGACGGCGAGATTGGAGAGCTGTGGGGGTGTGGCCCACCTGAAAACCTACCGTCTTCCTCAGTCTGACATTCTAGCTGCTGCTTCCAGAAGGAAAGGAGATTGGTCCACACTAAAGGTGTGGAAACCACCACAGAGCCTCCCTTTTCCTTTAACTACTTGAGTGATCCCAACTGTGCTGGGTTAATGGTACAGGTGATGGGGAAGGGGGGGGGGGATTTCCCATCCCTTCGAGGCTGGAGCAGACAAGGCCATAAGATCAGTGTAGTCACAGATTTTCCATTCCATCATCACCTGCTTCTGTCCATCTTCAATCCCTGTGGCCCCCAAGCATAGAAGGATCTCAAAGGAGCAGAGAGCTGCAATAAGCCAGGGACCCTCAGACCCTTGTACTCTCCCCAAATCCTGTTCCCACTCCACTATGTGCAGAAGGCCAATCCTGATCTCCATAGTCAGGGACCTCCCACTTCCATGGAGGGGAAGGCAGGAAGAGCCACTAAATTCTTCCTGTCCAATGGTGAAAGATGAAACGTGGCCTTGAAATCACTGGTCACTGGCCTGTACTGGCTTGGCAGCTGTCCTGCAAAGAGTAGAGAAAGGAGGAAGGAAAGAAAGAGGAAGACAAAGTGTAGTAGACACAGGAAGCAAAAGAGGAAGAGAAACGTGAGAAAACAGGCATGTGGCCAGAATGAAATATACATGGAGGAGATGGATTCTTGAATGCTCAACATCTACAAGTCGGGAAAGATTTTCAAAAGAGTTCAGCTCCTATTCAGGCGACAAAATAAGTGACCAAATGGGAGCTGAGTAGGGCTGGCCAAAAAACCAAGAATTCCACGTTGCAAAAAATATTTGTAAGTTCAGAATATGTTTTTGTATTGCATCAGAACAAGATACAGACCTTTCAAAAAGGGCATTCACCAGAGATGGGGTGAATCCAGACCTTGCTCAACCTCCTTAAGAGCAGGGACCTGAACCTGGGTCTCTCTTGCTCCTGAGATATTGGCTCTTCTAGCATGGGGTGTGTCTCTATAAATTTTACCTTGGATCTAAGACACGAGGGGAGAGGAGGGAGAGAAACTTACCAGTTCTAGAGCCGAGCTCTTTGGAAATCTGGCCTTAGAAAACTTTCAATGGCCGTATGTATCTAGGAATCCCACACATTAGAGATGGAAAAGATCAATACATCTTGAACTCCCGCCTATTCGTTCCTCACCGCCAATGCAGGATTGCTGCACAGTGCTCTGTCCACAGTAGCAGAGCTCTTTGGAAATCTGGCCTTAGAAAACTTTCAATGGCCGTATGTATCTAGGAATCCCACACATTAGAGATGGAAAAGATCAATACATCTTGAACTCCCGCCTATTCGTTCCTCACCGCCAATGCAGGATTGCTGCACAGTGCTCTGTCCACAGTAACTTTATATGGTCTGAATGAAGTTGTCAATGCTATTCTGAGAGCAGGTTACACAGCCTACCAAAGGAACCAGATTGCTGGCACTGAAAACCAAAAAGGTCATCGAGCAGTTTTTAAATTAAGGGCTGGGGGAAAGCCAATGGGTGTGGAGGAGCACAGGGATCAGACAGAGGCATCTCTTAGGAGAGGGTCTATTAATAGAGATGCTCTGTGTTCTAGTCAGGAGGAGAGGATGGAAGTGTCAGAAACATTCAACTGAAAAGAAAAAAAAAAGCTTCCCATTCTATCACATCATGTAATGGCAGAGAGCTAAGTTTTTTAAAGTGCTCAAATGCAAATGCTAGAAGTCTAAATATCATGGGTGAACTAGAATGCCTCATACTGAATGAGGATATTGATATAATAGGCATCAAACAGAACCTCGACGGAATGAGGACAATCAATGGACACAGAACAGGTCATGCTGGTAGGGGGGTGGCACTGTGTGTGTGAAAGAAACTGGAGAATCAAATGAAGTAAAAATCTTAAATGAACAAAGCTGTTCCACAGAATCATTATGGATAGTAACTCCACGCTCTAATAATATGAATATAGCAATAGGGATAGATTACCGACCATCCGACCAGGATGGTGATAGTGACTGAAATGTTAAGGGAGATGAGAGTGGTCATATAAATCAACTCAATGGGAGATTTCAATTATCCCCATATTGACTGGGTACACATCACCTCAGGAGAGGATGCAGACAAAGTTTCTTGACACCTTAAATGACTGCTTCTTGGAGTAGCTGGTTCTGCAAACCACAGGGGGAGAGGCAATTCTTGATTTAGTCCTAAGTGGAGCATGGGATCTGGTCCAAGAGGCTGACTATCTTTGGGCCATTTGGAAATAGTGACTATAATATAAATTGAACATCGCTGTGGTGGGAAAAAACCCACAGCAGCCCAACACTGTGGCATTTAATTTCAGAAAGGGAAACTATAAAAAAATGAGGTTAGTTAAACAGAAATTAAAAGGTACAGTGACAAAAGTAAAATCCCTGCAAACTTCATGGAAACTTTCCAAACACACCATAAATGAGGTTCAACTTAAATATATACCGCAAATGATATTTATATATATATATATATATAAAAAGAAAAGAAAAGGCCACACAAGTAAGAGGACCAAAAAAAGTGTCACTGTGGCTTACTAGCTAAATAAAAGAAGCAGTGAGAGATAACAAGGCATCATTCATTTAAAAAGTGGAAGCTAAATACTAGTGAAGAAAACAGAAAAGAGCATGAACCCTGTCAAAGGAAGTGTAAAAATATAAATGGGAAGGTCAAAAAGGAATTTGAAGAACAGCTAGGCAATTGTTTTTTTAAATAAGTACATCAGAAGCAGGAAGCCTATTAATCAACCAGTGAGGCCACTGGACAATTGAGATGCTAAAGAAGCAATCAAATATGATAAGGTAATTGTGGAGAAACTAAACAAATTCTTTGCATCTGTCTTTACAGCTGAGGACATTAGGGAGAGAGTAAAATTTGCAGAGGGTAACTGCTCAAAATAGTTAAATCCAAAGCAGACTATGACTATGACCCAAAAGGGTCCCACTAAACTAAGTAATTGGGCAACAAAATGGCAGATGAATTTTAATGTTGATAAATGCAAAGTAATGCATATTGGAAAACAATCCCAACTATACATATACAATGATAGGAACTAAATTAGCTATTACCACTCAAGAGAGCTCTTGAAGTCATTGTTCTCTGAAAACATCCACTCAATGTGCAGCAGCAGTCCAAAAAGCAAACAGAATGTTGGGCATCATCAAGAAAGGAACAGAGATTAAGACAGAGAATAACTTATTGCCTCTATATAAATCCATGGTACACCCACACCTTGAATATTGCATGCAGATGTGTTTGCCTCATCTCAGAAAAGGTATCTTGGCATCGGTAAAAGTTCAGAAAAGGGCAAAAAAATATGACAAAGATATGGAACAGCTGCCATATGAGGAGAGATTAATATGACTGGGACTTTGCATTTTAAAAATCATGGGTGATGTGGAGAAAGCAAATAAATAAGTTATTTACTTGCTCCCATAACACAAGGGGCACCAAATTAAATGAACAGGCAGAAGGGTTAAAACAAACAAAAGGAAGTATTTCTTCATTCAACACACAGCCAACCCATGGAACTCCTTGCCAGAGGATGCTGTGAAGGCCAGGTCTCTAACAGGGTTCAAAACCAAGCTAGATAAATTTATGAAGGAGTGATCCATCAATGGCTACTAGCCAGGATGGGCAAGGGTGGTGCCCCTAAGACTCCGTTTGTCAGAAACTGGGAATTGGAAACAGGGGATGGATCTCTTGATGATTGTCTGTTCTGTTCATTCCCTCTGGGGCACCTGGCATTGGCCACTGGGCTAGATGGACCTTTGGTCTGACCTAGTATGGCTGGTCTTATATATACACACACTAATCTTTCATTATGCAAAGCTTTAAAAAAAAAAAAAAAAAAACAAGAAAAAGCGCTCCCCAAATCCCTATCAAAGGATCAGCACTGTCTATGAGCACTTCCTCTATTATTCAAGGACTGTACTGCTTGTGTTATCATCATAGACTGCTGGAAGCCTCAGTGAGCTCTGAGGTGTGAAATAGGACTGTGTAATCTGCACAAAGCTATTTGGTGGGACTCTGTCAGAATCCATGCAATCCTGGAAACACTGAGGAATTATTTTGAAAGTCAATAAAAATGTAACCATCAGGAAAGGGCGATCATAATATATTTATGCTTCACATGTGATTAACTCATGTCCCCAATTACCACCAACCTTATTCAGGTGGCATGATGGGAAATGCACGATCTCCACACACACAAACCCATAAAATAATCATGACAAAGCTGCCACAGCAGATAAACTTCTTGAGGGCACATGCTGTAAAAAACCTCCCAAGGAAATCCATTTGAAACAAGCCTTACTGCTACTTAAAAAAAGAGAGAGACAGAGAGAGAGATGACAAATTTAGCTTACCAGGCTGACGCTTCTACTATTCCACTGCAATATAGTAGTCAGGGGCGGATAAGAGTTTTGCGGGGCCCAGGGCATGGGGCCGATTGAAGCGCGGGGCCCGAGGCAGCTGCCCCCCCTCGCCCTGCCCTATATCCGCCACCGATAGTAGTTATAAGAAAGGAATTAACTTCAATGAAATAACTCATGCGCTGAGCATATGATTATGTAGCTTACTGAATTAGGACTTTTATGATCAGATGGTCCATTTACATTGGAAGTAAAGACTGCTTCAACTCTTGAAGGCACAGAAATGTAGGACTACATGTTGTTTATTCATACTTTATTGTTTGGGGGCATTTTTCATAAGTTAATTTAGAGCCACAGAAACTGTTGACTTTGGAGGCTAAAGTTTCTTAGCAGCAGGGAGAAAAGAAAATGCTGTCAGTACAGCAGAGGAGAAACCTACCTCGGCATCCGAGATGGCGATCCGGTTGGACTCGATCGTTGGTCTCCTCACTATGCGTGGTGAGATATGTGTTAAAGGTCCAGTAGCATAAGGACCGTAGCCTGGAGCATTGGTAGAAGCCAGGTAGCTTCCTGTAGGCCTTTCCTGAAGAGACAACTTTCTGCTAGATAGAAGCGGCCTAGTTGGAGCTCTCCTTGGAACATTCATCCGATGGACATCCTCTGGCTCTTGTGAAGGCAAAGGTTCATTTGTTACCATGTCACTATCAACCCCGTTCCTCTGCATGTCTGCTACACCGTCAGAAAAGACTGCATCGTTCTCTTCTATTGCTTCCTGAACACTTGGAACATCTACATTGGGCCCAAGAGCAACATCGATGGCTGCTACTCTCTCGACCAGTTCAGCCTGGGTGTCTTCGCAGCCTGCGTCTGCACCTTCATCAGTGGTATCGGCAGGCGAATCTCCCATAATTGTGTTGACTTTCCAGGTCTCAGATGACACTGCAGACAGCTGCGCTCTTAGGGCTCATGGAAAACATGTGTCATGAAGGACTCTCTCCACATGGATATCTGGAAGGGAACACAATGAAAGATCACTGACTGATGGCATCAGCTAAGCAAGGATGTAGACAAAACCTCCAGTAGCAGGCATGGGGAAAATTGTCAAAGAAAATGAAGGCAGAACGTCAGCAGGGAGCTATAAGTTAAATAAACATCCAGAAGGAAAAGCAAAACCAAATCAACAAGCTGGTTACAAAACATTTATAAGTGAGAAGGGCAGAATTTTGTTCGCTGATCTGCAAGTCAGCTGAAAGATGCTTCTGCTTTTCATAGCTAGATCAACAGATCTAATAAAGAAAGGAGGAAATGAGTACAGCCTCTGAAAAGAATGATGACAGGGATGAAAAGCCGAACATTGAACCTTGTTTTAAATCACATTTATAGGTACAACATGTCAATTCCATGGTCACTGCATTTCCTCCTACGTGGTCTGGGAGAGGACCCCTTTAAAAGTTTCTGGCTCCCAGCTGTTGCTTCTGAGTGGAGACCCATCTCTCTCTCCCTTCTGACAGGGATTTTTAAGGCTGCACAACCCTCATCTCCCACAGGCGAGTCTGCCAGAAGGCTGGCACTAGCGCTTTGCTTTCTCTCCACAGGCTTTGGACAGCGAGTTGCCAGCAGTTACCACATAGCTCCTTATAAGCAAGCGCATTTATTCTTAGAGTGAAAGCATTAAAGAGAAATATACAAATAGTAGAAACTTACACACATGCTAAAAAGCTCACCATTAATTCTCCCCACAAACACCAACAAAGGGCTCAACTTGATTTTCTAGAGGATTACAAGAAAGGCAGTTTAAGATCAGGTTATTTATCCAAACACCTCAGCGTGAACTAGACTACTCAAGACTCCTGGGAAGCTGATCTCTCTCTGGAGGTGTTATAATCTGAACGATCTCCTCTCATCGTCCCTACTGTTTTTACTTCATGGAGGGAGAAGGGCAAACACAGCCCAGCCATGGAGTGCATACATCTGACCCATAATGAAATGTAAACCATTTATACGTTTAATAAAATATGGTGCTCAAAGATATTGCAGAAAGTTCCCCTGAACTTGACACATGGAAAAAATACTGTGAATCAGCCATTCTTACTGAGTATGTCAAATCTATAGTCACGTAGGACTTCAAGGTAATGACTACATTGTTCCTGAGGGCATATCTATACTTAGCAGAAGATTGACGCTTTGAAAGCTGATCTTCTGGCGTTCGATTGAGGGGGTCTAGTACAGACCTGCTAATCGAACGCCGAGGGCAGCTTTTGCTGACGTCTGGTAATCGTCCTTATACGAGGAGCAAAGGAAGTCGATGGGAGTATTTGTTCCTGTCGGCCGACCTGCTGGGTCTCATGTAGACCCGACCTGAGAGCATAGATCTCTGAACCTCATGCTGGGAAAAAGCCTAGCTACTCGCACTAAAAAGAACTCCCCTTCTGCTGCTAGCAATATCTGGTCAATGACAAACAGTTAAACCTTACTGATTCCAGTCACTCAGGGGCACTCACACACTCTCACATATATCCAGTTCATTACTAGTGTGAGTTGCATTATAAACATGACAAAGATTATCTCTACTACATACTGAAAGGATGATGAGCAAGGGTGAAGTTAGCTATCCAGTGGTTACATTAACCTAACTATCAACTACCTCAGACTATAAAAAAAGATAAGGTCCAAAAAAGGGACCAATCATATATACTATATCACTATCACCCACTAATCATCCCTGATCACATGGTGCTGCAGGAATATGCATCTGAATCCCTTAACTCATTTTTTTTGTCTGGTTAATCCTAGCATTTCTCTCTTACTGTACTTCCGTAAACATAATCCACAATGTAGAGATGTTAAATTAAGCTTAATTAACTAATCGAATAGTCGATGGGATTTCTATCAACTATTTGATTAGTCTATAAGGGTGCTTCTGCCTTTGAACTATAGCAAGAACCCTACTGGACTCTTGCTACAGTTCAAAAGCGGAAGCCCCACAAGGAGTACGGGGCTTCCTTTTGAAATGTACAAGAGCCCCAGTGGGGATCTTGTACATTTCATAACATAAGAATGGACACACTGGGTCAGACCAAAGGTCCATCCAGCCCAGTATCCTGTCTGCCAACAGTGGCCAATGCCAGGTGCCCAAGAGGGAGTGAACCGAACAGGTAATGATCAAGCCATCTCTCTCCTGCCATCCATCTCCACCCTGTGACAATAAGAAGCTAGGGACACCATTCCTTATCCATCCTGGCTAATAGCCATTAATGGATTTAACCTCCATGAATTTATCTAGCTCTTTTTTAAAACCCTGCTATAGTCCTAGCCTTCACAACCTCCTCAGGCAAGGAGTTCCACAGGTTGACTGTGCACTATGTGAAGAAAAACTTCCTTTTATTTTTTTTAAACCTGCTGCCCATTAATTTCATTTGGTGGCCCGTAGGCTCAGGCGCCACAGGGAGCAAGGGGCAGAAGCCCTGCAGGGAGCACAGGATCCGCAGGGACTCCCCCGCTGACCCTACGCTCCCTGCGTAGCCTCAGCCTTTGAAACGTACAAGAGCCCTTGTATGTTTCAAAAGCAGAACCACAGCAGAAGAGGTGCGAGCGGAGATTGCTTCAGTCCCCGCTTGCGGCATTTCCCACTGTGCCTCTACCTCACCTCCCCTATCCCCTGTGGAAATGGTGCTGGGAGGGAACCAGTTTTTAAGTCAGCTCCCCCAGTATCAGCTCCTGCTTCCCCCCTTGCTGCCTCTCTCTGATCGAACCAGTGGGGGGGGGGGGGGGGGAAGGGCGATCAGTCGCATAACTAGTTGACTACCCGATAAGCTGCTTATTGGATAGTCGACTAGTCGCTTACATCCCTAGTACTATGAAAGAACAACACCAGCCTGCTTGGGTCTGTTGCATGCAAGTCAAGTTGTTAATTATTCGTCAAACACTGGCTCTGATTCTGATGTCACCTACACCAGCGTGACTCCAGTCTGAATGGAATTCGGATTCACACTAGTCTGTAAATCAAGACCAGAATCAGCCGGCTGCCTTCAATCCAGGCACACACAGGACTTTTGCTGTAGATCAGTGGGGATCCTGTGCACAGATCAAGGGAAGGTCCTGGCCCTAAGCGATCAATAAATGCACAATTCAAAATAACAAAGCTGAACTCTGCTGCAAACAGAGCATACGAGAAAAACTGCACCAGCAGGGAAGGAGATGGGGTCTAATTTTGCCTCGAATTACATCTGTGCAACTCCATGGACTTCATCAGGGCTTTATGGGTATAAACAAGGGCAAGGTTTGGCCTGCAATCTTAACCTCAGACCACATGCCAACAGCTAAGAGTTTTCATTCTTTGCGAGCATGCTAAGTATCACAGAATGGAAAGTAGCAAAACTCAACCCTCCTCCCTTGCAGTAACACTGTTCTCCCTCCCATAATCATTCCCTGCTCTTTCTGCAGTTATGTTTTAATAAAGTGACAAAAATGTCACAGTTGTTAAAAGCTGTAATCAAATGGCAGCTCTGCTGTAAAAAGCATTTATTAAAGCAATATGAAGCTATTGAATTTCAAAGGGCGAGTCCCCGTCAGAGAAAAGGGATGCTCACACAGAAAGGAACGAGAGAAATTATTGATACCACCAAGAGCCCAGTAATGTTCCATCAATGGGAAGTATGCACCATCTGGATGAGCTGCTCACAGAGGAATGCTGCCTTCACACAAAACATATATGTCTGCATACTGCCTTGGCTGATTCTTGATCACAAACCAGCTGGTCATCACCCGACATGGAGCACAGGGAGCTGGAGGGCGTAGCCCTGAGAATGTGCTAGTAACTCTGTCCCAGCTTTGTACTTGGTGGCCGGGAGATGGGAAGCCTGTGAAGAACTCCTTTGCATCGCTTGTATGGTTGGACTGTGCACCAGAGTCAAGAGTTTTGGCTCCTAGAGAGTAGAACTGGCCTGTATCACAGCAAGGGAAGGAGATGAGTTCTTATGGATTACAGGCTGCACCTCTAAAATCCAGGACACTCTGGTCTGGCAACATCCATGGTCTGGCACACTGCAAGTGGAGTGCGGGGCCGGGAGTGGACACGCAGCTCAGCTGGGCTGGGGAGGGAGCCAGAAAGTCCGGGGAGGGCAGCAGCAGGGGGCCAGAAATGACCTTCCCTGGTCTGGAAAGATCCCTCATCTGGGACCAGTCATGTCCCGAGGGTGCTGAACCAGGGAGTTCCAACCTGTGCAAAGAAGAGACAGGCCCATCCCACACTCAGTTTGTTACCAGGCTGTCAAAGAGATTCAGCATTAGGATCCAGCTCTGGACAGAGGTGTGCACCACACAAACCGATTGACTCCAGCTTCAGCACTCACTTCTGACCAGACCAAAAGAAGCCCCGAGCCATTTAGTCTGATGTGCGAGAAGGTCAGCTGAGAGCATAATTAATCACCATTCCAGAATTCCTACTGATTTCATCCTCCACTGAGGATTTAGCTTGAAGATTTAAACCTGGCTTTGATTTCCTTGTTAGAAAGAAATTAGGTTGTTCCAAAACCCAGATACCGCTCTGCAGCACGCTGAAGGGAAATGTCTGAAGGGAAGCCTTTTAAACTAGCCCCAACAGGACCTGAATGGACTGCAGGTGTTCTGATTAGCCTGCATCTCTCTTGCTTCTGGAAGGCTCTTAATTGACTCTAGGATCCACCTGCTTGCTTTGCTTAGCCCCCCCCCCCACTCTTGCCCTGCTCAATCAGGGAACGGAGAACTATTTGTCTAGTGCCAAGTATATGTGCCTATCAAACTACCGTAGTCCATTCGGCTGGGTCTGTCAAAGAAGAACAGGCCCATAGGCACTTACAATTCACCTTGATCCCTAAAGAGAACCAGTTATAAAGAAACCAACCCACTACAGGCAGTCCCCGGGTTACATGGATCCGACTTACATCGGATCCCTACTTACAAACGGGGTGAGGCAACCCCGCACTAGCTGCTTCCCCCCAGCAGACCAGGGAGACGCGGAGCGGCTTTTC